ACCTCGTGATCCACCCGTCTCGGCCTCCCAAAGTGCTGGGATTACAGGCTTGAGCCACCGCGCCCGGCTGTACTCCTGCCTGTTTTATAGGCTTGATCCTCTAGCTTTCCCGGAGACTCGGTGACTATCCAATATCCTGTCCGCAAACTCCATTTTCTACAAACATCATCAAAGTCATATTCTGCTGCTTATAATCCAGACTGATCCATTTTTCCTTTTGGGAAGTGCTCCTCCATCCTCATTTTAATAATATGTGTTAGGAAGAAGCATTTATTTCCCATTAATATTTCCAGGTAGATAGGTGAAAACCCCTAACTTCTCTCCCCATTTCTTCTTCATTCCTCCTCCAAAGAAGATGGAGCACCTTATCTGATTGGTGAATGCAGCAGTCAGGATAGGCAAGGTTATGCTGTGGTAACAAGCAACTGCAAAATCTCAGTTGCTTAAAACAGCAAAGATTTCTTTGTTGCTCAAACTCCATGTCACTGTTTGTTGTCTCAGGGCTCCTCTCCATGTCATCCTCATTCCGGAGCGTAGGATAATGAAGCAGGTACTACCTGGACCACTAACTGTTACCATGTCAAATGGAAAAAGAGTTTGTGCAGCCAATCAAGCACAGGCTCTTAAAGCTCCCAGCTAGAGGTGATACACATCACAACTAATGACATGTAACTGGTTAAAGTAGTCACATGCCTGCACTTTACTCAAAGAGGGACACCATCATGTTCCCAGAAGAAGAAATGCAGCTATTTCATTAATTGTACAAATAATTAACACAGTGGATTTGGGATGAAGGGACGTGTGGTGGTTCAGCTTCATCTGGGTTCTCTTTTGACAACCTGTTCACCTGAGACGGGCATGTGTTCCTGTCTGCTCTTGGTCACACAGTAAAAGCTCCCCAGGACTAGGCGATCAAGGGTGAATTTTTTTTTTTTTTTCCCGAGATGGAGTTTTGCTCTATTGCCCAGGTTGGAGGGCAATGGGGTGATCTCGGCTCACCACAACCTCTGCCTCCTGAGTTCAAGAGATTATCCTGCCTCAGCCTCCCGAGTAGCTGAGATTACAGGCATGCGCCACCACGTCCAGCTAATTTTGTACTTTTAGTAGAGATGGGGGTTCTCCATGTTGGTCAGGCTGGTCTCGAACTCCTAACCTCCCGCCTCGGCCTCCCAAAGTGCTGGGATTGCAGGCGGGAGTCACGGCACCCAGCAAAAGTGAATTATTAAAAAGCCAATTTAACCAGAAAAAATAAAGCCACATTTACAAACATCTTTACCAGTAATAATGGTACTATTGTGATCTACATATGCTTGTCTCCTATTGGTTGATGCCTGAAAACTCATCACTGTGGTTCCAGTGGGGACTGCAAAGTGGTGAACACGTGACCCAAACTCAAAATGATTGACCCAAGGCCAGGCGCACAGTGGCTCACACCTGTAATCTCAGCACTTTAGTAGGCCAAGGCGGGCAGATCACCTGAGGTCAGGAGTTCGAGACCAGCCTGACCAACATGGTAAAACCCCATCTCCACTAAAAATACAAAAATTAGCTGGGCATGGTGGCACACGCCTGTCCTCCCAGCTACTTGGGAGGATGAGGCAGGAGAATCGCTTGAACCCAAGAGGCAGAGGTTGCAGTGAGCTGAGATTTCACCACTGCACTCCAGCCTGGGCAACAGAGCGAGATCCATCTCAAAAAAAAAAAAAAATGATTGACCCAAGCTAGATCCTTCTAGAGTTATTCCCTGGGACTTTGTAATTGAAGTCAAGTGCAAAGTCAGTGGTGAAACTATGAGGCTGAACTCTAAGTCTATGAGAAATTCCTTTCATTCTGGGGTAATCCCCACTCCTCTGCCCACTGACCCCACCCCACCCTGCTGATTCTCAAAGTATTATTTCAGAATCTACATTCAAATAATACTTTGAATATTATATTCGAAGTATTAGAGTCACTTAACTAATACTTTGTGAAACCCACATATATGTATGTGTGATTGTATCTGTGTGTATGTGTATGCACATATATAATGATATGTAGATGCATATATAAACACACATATATGTTATCCATGAATCATAAATAAGTACTACTACACTAATAGCTTTAAACATTTACAATAATATATTTTATAAAGGGCATAATAAGAGTAGAAGTATGGGGCCGGGCGTGGTGGCTAACGCCTGTAATCCCAGCACTTTGGGAGGCTGAGGTGGGCAGATCACCTGAGATCAGGAGTTCAAGACCAACCTAACTAATATGGTGAAACCCCGTCTCTTCTAAAAATACAAAAATTAGCCAGGCGTGGTGGCACATGCCTGTAATCCCAGCTACTCAGGAAGCTGAGGCAGGAGAATCACTTGAACCCAGGAGGCGAAGGTTGCAGTGAGCCGAGATCATAGCCAAGATCATGACACTGCACGCCAGCCTGGGCAACAGAGCAAGACGCCGTCTCAAAATAAAAAGATTAAAAATATGGAATGTTGTTAAGTATTTATTTCTCGCCCCCATGGATCATCATATATATGCTGCTTCCAGAACACTTTGAATATATCCAGAATTCTCGAGTGAGATTGTCAGATGCAAATGCTATCTCTGCCAATTGCTAGCTCTGTGAACCTGAAATACTTAATCTCTTTGTGCCTCAGTTTCTTCTGAGAGAATGAAACCAACATGCAACATTTTGTATTTTCACCCTGGTATTCTTTTATTTTATTTTTCCTTAGAATTGTCCATGTCGGCCGGGCGCGGTGGCTCAAGCCTGTAATCCCAGCACTTTGGGAGGCCGAGACGGGTGGATCACGAGGTCAGGAGATCGAGACCATCCTGGCTAACACGGTGAAACCCCGTCTCTACTAAAAAAATACAAAAAACTAGCCGGGCGAGGTGGCGGGCGCGCCTGTAGTCCCAGCTACTCGGGAGGCTGAGGCAGGAGAATGGTGTGAACCCGGGAGGCGGAGATTGCAGTGAGCTGAGATCTGGCCACTACACTCCAGCCTGGGCGACAGAGCGAGACTCTGTCTCAAAAAAAAAAAAAAAAAAAAAAAAAAAGAATTGTCCATGTCAATCTGTCATGATTTTACTCTCACAAAGACAAAATCAAAAATCATTAACACAGCTTTTCTTTCAGCAGGATAATGGCAGTATTTAGTATTTCACAAAATGAAGCACTGTAATTGCAGCTTGCTTTTTCACTCTGACGTTCTAAATGCCCAATCTAGTCTTTTTTTTTTTTTTTTTGAGACAGAGTTTCACTCTTGTTGCCCAGGCTAGAGTGCAATGGTGCCATCTTCCCTCACTGCAAACTCCGCCTTCTGGGTTCAAGCGATTCTCCTGCCTCAGCCTCCCAAGTAGCTGGGATTGCAGGCACGTGCCACCACACCCAGCTAATTTTTGTATTTTTAGTAGAGATGGGGTTTCACCATATTGGTCAGGCTGGTCTCGAACTCCTGACCTCAAGTGATCCACCCACCTTGGCCTCCCAAAGTGCTGGGATTACAGGCGTGAGCCACCGCGCCCGGTCTGGTCTTGTCTTAAATAAAATGGCAAGCCATGGTGAGGACCAAATTGAAGCAACTTTGGCAAAATTACATATTGTAACAAGCAGGCAGACTTGAAGTGGACCTGCCCACCTCAGATTTGCATCCTACCATTTGGGAATTCATTGCATGACCCACAGAGTCTGAACAGGAAGGCAGACAGGAGAGGAAGAGCTGCCAGTGAGATAAATGGCCTCTCTGGAATAGCTAAGAGTACAATTGTATTGTGGATTATCTGAATCAGTTAGGACTCTGTAGCTAATAAAAGAAAGGAGATTCAAACTGGTTTAAGGGATAAAGGGAATTTAATGACCTATAAAACTGAAGAATCAAGGCTGGTCTCAGTGGCTCATGCCTGTAATCCCAGCACTTTATGAGGCTGAGGCGGGCAGATCGCCTGAGGTCAGGAGTTCGAGACCAGCCTGGCCAACATGGTGAAATCTCGTCTCTACTAAAAACACAAAAATTAACCAGGTATGATCGCAGGCGCCTGCAATCCCAGCTACTCAGGAGGCTGAGACAACAGAATCACTTGAACCCGCGAGGCGGAAGTTGCAGTCAGCCAAGATCTCGCCGTTGCACTCCAGCCTGGGCGACAGAGTGTGCCTCCATCTAAAAAAAAAAAAAAAATTAGCTAAGGCATGGTGGCACATGCCGGTAGTCCCAGCTACTAGAGAGGCTGAAGCATGAGAATAGCTTGAACCCAGGAGGCAGAGGGTTGCAGTGAGCCGAGATCATGCCACTTCATTCCAGCCTGGGCAACAGAGAGAGATCCTGTCTCAAACAAACAAAAATAACTGAAAAATCAAGATATAAGCTTCAGATGAGACTTGATCCTGGAACTCAAGTGATGATAAGAAGGACCTGGCTTTCCCCTTGTCTCTCCATTTCCAGTTTTGTGGTGTTGGCTCCTTCATCAGGCTGCCTCCCCAGCAACTCCAAGCTGCCTCTCACTGCACTAAAATGGCAGCCACTGATCCAGACGTTATATCCTCACACCACAATGTCCAGGGAAACAGGGAACGGCTCATTCAAGTGGCTCTTGGGTGGGTCTCGAATTAACTGTCTCTGAACTATTTGGTCCAAATTGGGACACATACCCATTTCGACCCAATCACAGTAACCAAGGGTTGTCTTAAATCAAGGAAGAGTAACTGGGCGCAGTGCTTCGCCTGTAATCCCAGCACTTTGAGAGGCCAAGAGGGGGCAGATCACAAGGTCAGAAGTTCAAAACCAGCCTGGCCAATATGGTGAAGCCCCGTCTCTACTAAAAAAACGAAAAATTAGCCGAGTGTTGTGGCGCACGCCCGTAGTCCCAGCTAGTCGAGAGACTGAGGCAGGAGAATCCCTTGAACGCAGCAGGCGAAGGTTGCGGTAAGCCGAGATCAAGCCAGGCCACTGCACTCTAGACTAGGCCATAGTGTGAGACTCTGTCTCAAAAACAAAAAACAAAAAAACTCAGGGTCACTTTCAAATCCAATTTTTAGTCAATATTTTGTATTTTTAATTTTAAGGTTCCCAAAAAGTCTGGATTCAACCCCAACGCTTTCTCACAGAGGGCGGCTTCAGGTTTCGAACGGTGGACGGAGTGGGAGAGGCTTCGGTCAGCGGTGGTTGTGGGGAAGTTCGGGCGCAGCCCACGGCTCCATGCCCTGCGGCGGGGGCACGTGCAGGCACCAGCTTGAAAAACTCCATCGGGCGCGGAGCTGACCCACTCGGGTCCGAAGCCAACCCTAGTCGGATCAAGCAGCTGAACGCAGGCCCTGGGACCTGGTGACGGCCGTTGCGACCTCGAGAGTTCTGCGGGTGGGTGGGAAGCAGGAGTGGCGCGCTGAGGCGGGCGTCGGGCAGTGTTCTGGACAGCGGGAGTCAGTGCCTCAACTTCCCCAGGATTCTTCCGTGGGAGCAGCCCACTCCCACACTCCGCCCCGCGTGGGAGACGAGCCCTGAGAACCAGGAGACACAGCCAGGCCAGGAGACTCCAGAGCCCTGCCAGACTTGCTGAGACCCAGCTGCAGGAAGCCCTATGGCCGCGCTGCGCTCACGCACAGAGTCCGGGTCTCCCGCAGAGAGCCAGAGGCAGCCCCTGCGGGAGGGGCGGGGGCGGGGCGGGGGCGGGGCCAAAGCTGGACCTGGCCACGCCCCGGAGGATGAGGGGAGTCCCGCTAGGGTCGGGGGTCTCCCAGGAGCTCCAGCGCTCTGCTCCCCTTGGTGTCGCCCGAGGCTGCTGGAGGGTGGTGAGACCATGGCTTGGAGAGGACGTGCTGGGAAGCTAGGTCTGGAACCCGCCAGGCTCGCGGTGGAACTGTCGCGGGAGAGGCACTGCTGCACCGGGACGGTGGGCTGGTGGGCTGGCCACTCTGGAGAACCTGAGCCTGCAGTTACCTCTGTAGCTGAACCTGCGAATATGGAGGGAGGAAAGAGAAGCTTTCCGAGATGGCCAGAGAGCAAGCCAGGCTGAAGGGCTCCGGAAAGGATCACAGGAAGTGGGCTGGAGGGTTCCTTGCGGGTGGAAGGAGGAGGAGAGAGCTAGTGAGCAGGCTTGGGGGACCGGGGAGTGGGGGGAAGAGGGCGAGGCTCCTCTCTTTCCTCTGTTGCTTGTGGGCGTGATTGCAACCCCCACCCCCGCTTATCTGCGATGTCGGCCACAAAGATGTTGACCCGGAGCCCACAGAAGGCCAGTGCAAAGAGAGGCCCGTGCCCTTTACTCTCTGCCTTATCTTGTAGGAAAAGAAAAACTTTTTATCTGAGGAAGGCAAGCCTTTTAAAATTATCAGGCCCATGGAGAGGATCGTTTGAGCCCAGGAGTTCCAGACCAGCCTGGGCAACATGGTGAAACGCCGTCTCTACAAAAAATACGGAAATCAGTCGGGTGCGGTGGCTACTGGCTGTGGTCCCAGTTACTCAGCAAGCTGAGGCAGGAGGATCGCTTGAGCCCAGGAGGTCGAGGCTGCAGTGAGCCAAGATCGTGCCACTGCACTCTGGCCTGGGTGACAAAGCCAAACCTTGTGACCAAAAATAAATAAATAAATCAGGGCCAGAGAGGAATTAAAATGAGACAACAGTGACATCTGATTGCCCCCTTTGAGCTATGTGTTCATCTCTTGAACTGCTTGCACTGGCTTGCTATTGCCATAAGCAGCTATGAATTAACCTAGTAATGCCACACTGGATACTATAACCCACCCCCTACAGCTTAACAGTATATAGCCAATCACTAATCAATGAGGTTCCTTTAAACCAATGAGAATTCCTAACAACTTTGTATCAGCCCACAGCCCACTCTTTTTTGCCTTTGAAAACCTCCTTGTAACAAAGCCCTAATGGAGCTCATATCCAAGGTTACTTGGGTCTGAGTCTTCCTGGCAGCTGTCCTCCCTTTTTTTGTTTGTTCTGTTGTGTTTTTTTTTTTTTTTTTTTTTTTTGAGACGGAGTCTCGCCCAGGCTGGAGTGCAGTGGCGCGATCTCGGCTCACTGCAAGCTCCGCCTCTCGTGTTCACGCCATTCTCCTGCCTCAGCCTCCCGAGTAGCTGGGACTACAGGCGCCCGCCACCAAACCCGGCTAATTTTTTTGTATTTTTTAGTAGAGACGAGGTTTCACCGTGTTGGACAGGATGGTCTCGATCTCCTGACCTCATGATCCAACCGCCTCGGCCTCCCAAAGTCGTTTTTTGTTTTTTGAGACAGAGTCTCGCTCTTGTCACCCAGGCTGGAGGGAAATGAAGCAATCTCAGCTCACTGCAACCTCTGCCTCCTGGGTTCAAGCGATCCTCCTGCCTCAGCCTCCCAAGTGGCTGGGATTACAGGCAGGCACAATGACACCCGGCTAATTTTTCATATTTTCAGTAAAGACGGGATTTCACCATGTTGGCCAAGCTGGTCTCGAAGTCATGACCTCAGGTGATCCACCTACCTCGGCTTCCCAAAGTGCTGAGATTATAGGCGTGAGCCACCACGCCTGGCCCTCTTGGGCTCAAGTAAACTCTTTGAGTCATATTTTGTGCCTCAGCCTCTTCCTTTTAGGTTGACAATTGACTCCCAGAATATGGAGGCTTCAGCTATGAGGAGCAGGGCCATGGGTGAAGAGTGCCCACACTGACTCAAAGAGAGGTCCCCAACTGGGGCCCAGCTTTCCCACCCTATCCCCTCAGGAATCTCTCCCCTGGGACGCCTGTGCCTTTCCTGAGCCTGTGGAAATGTTGGTTTCCTCCACCTCCCCAGCATGATAGACTGGGAGGGAATAAGGTGATAGTGGCTCTGGAACTCCCCAGCTGACTCAGTGAACCTCTCTGTACTACCCCCACCAGCATGCCTGGAACCCAGACAGGGCACAGCTGAGAGGCTTCTCCCATGGGCCCTCCTACGCCGCCGGTGAGGAAGTTGCAGGAGGCAACCCAGAGGGGCAGGAAGAACACAGGTAGGAGGGGACGCTGGACTCCCATAGCAGAGATGCCTGAGGGAGAGGGAGGGAGACAATTCGGGATGAGCTGAGTTACCTCCTGCCACCTGTCCTGCAACACCCCCCATCAGTCTCCCTTTTCTGTCCTCCTTACACCATCCCCATCTTGGGTCTATCCACACTCTCCTTGCTGTGGTCCTCATTCCCCGACATCCGCCCCTTTCCCATATAGCTGTGTTTCATGCCCTTCGGCCCCCTTGGACTGGCCAGCAGAATGCAGACCCCTCCAGGACAAACACACTCAGGTCACCCCAAAATGGAAAGCGGGATCTAACAGAAACCAACCCCTAAAAGTCAGGAAACATGGCAATGCCCTCACTTCCTGTCTTCTCAGTCTCTTTTGGAACATATGGTTGTATTGTATGCACCTTTACGTCTCCAAAGTAACCCTTACCTGGTCCGCATCTCCCCATTATCCCACCATCAGAACATCTGAATTGGAGCATGGGGGCTTCCTTGGTGGCAGGACTCTAGAAGGGGATGAGGAGCCAGGAGAGAAGGTGTATGGGGTACGTGTCTGCCCCGGATGTCTGTCTTTCTGAGTAGCCCAGTGTGTCTCCGTCTTATGCCAAAGAGGGAGGGAGACCTGGGTGGGGAGGGGCTCCCCCTACCAGGACACTTGAAGGGTCAGGTGCACTGATTCCCGTCCCCACTACCACTACCTTCTGTTCCTGGGCTATCGTCCCCTGTTGCCTCCATTCGAATGCTCTTTCCCCAGATCTTCTCAGGGCTACTTCCTCTGGAAGTCATCTGGGTCTCAGTTCAAATGTCATATCTTCCAAGATCTTCCCTAAAGCCACCACCCTCCCCCAAAAAACACACACACAACATTCTATGCCACAGCCCTTGCTGTGTTTTCTGCTTACTGCTTACTGATTTTATCTTACTGCTGGTTTTTTTTTTTGGGGGGGGGGCGTGTTTTGTTTTGTTTTGTTTTTTAGATGGAGTTTCGCTCTTGTTGCCCAGGCTGGAGTGCATTGGTGCCATCTCGGCTCACCGCAAACTCTGCCTCCCGGGTTCAAGCGATTCTCCTGCCTCAGCTTCCCAAGTAACTGGGATTACAGGCATTCACCACCACGCCTGGCTAATTTTGTATTTTTAGTAGAGAGGGGGTTTCTCCATATTGGTCAGGCTGGTCTGGAACTCCCAGTCTCAGGTGATCCGCCTGCCTTGGCCTCCCAAAGTGCTGGGATTACAGGCGTGAGCCACTGCGCCCAGCCCTTGTTTTGTTTTATTGAGACGGAATCTCGCCCTGTCGCCCAGGCTGGAGTGCAATGGTGCGATCTCGGCTCACTGCAACCTGCAACTTCCGCCTCCCAGGTTCAAATGATTCTCCTGCCTCAGCCTCCCGAGTAGCTAGGACTTACAGGCATGTACCACCACACCCAGCTAATTTTTGTATTTTTAGTAGAGACAGAGTTTCACCACGTCGGCCAGGCTGGTCTCAAACTCCTGACCTCAGGTGATCCGCCCGCCTTGGCCTCCCAAAGTGCAGGGATTACAGGCGTGAGCCACTGCACCCGGCCTAATTTTTGTATTTTTAGTAGAGACGGGGTTTCACCATGTTGGCCAGGCTGGTCTTGAACTCCTGACCTCAAGAGATCCGCCCACCTCAGCCTCCCAAAGTCCTGGGATTACAGGGGTGAACCACTGGCCCGGCCTGATCTTATCTTACTTATTAATTTGTTGACATGGTAATTGTCCCTGTCACCTCTCACCCTCAGGATGAAGGTTTCCTGAGGGCAAGGACCTTGTCTTTTTCATGTCTGTATGCCCAGATCCTAGAACAATGCCTGGCACATTGAAGGCACTCAATAAATAGGTATCATTGAATTAAACACAGAGATGATTGGCTGGTCAGTAAAGGGCCTTTATTGCTGCCTTTTTTTTTTTTTTTTTTTTTTGAGACAGGGTCTTGCTTTGTCACCCAAGCTGGAGTGCAGTGGTGCAAACATGGCACATCGCAGCCTCAACCTCCCGGGTTTAAGCTATCCTCTTGCCTCAGCATCCCGAGTAGCTGGGACTACAGGTGCATGCCACTGTGCCTGGGTAATTTTTGTATTTTTTGTAGAGACAGGGTTTCATTATGCTTCCCAGGCTGGTCTCAAACTCCTGAGTTCAAGTGATCCGCCTACCTCGACCTCCCAAAGTGCTGGGATTATGGGTGCGAGCCACGGTGCCCAGCCCTGATTGCCCTTTTTATTCTTCTTGCTGCATTTTCATCGCCTGCCTGAGCCCCAGGCATTGCCCAGTCTGCAGCGGCCCCCAGCCACAGCTGCTGCAAACCCACAACCATTGCCACCACCACCACTGCCACCACCACCACTACCTCAGAGCCCTCAGGAACTGAGTGGGCTGACACACTCAGGTCTTGCACATGACCTTCAAGCCCCAGTTCCCAACAGAATTGACCCCTGCTCTGGACCCCTTTCCAAGCAGCCCCATCCCCCTTATGAAACCACACTTGGAGACCACTGCTCCTATAAGCACACACTTCCCCGGAGAGCCTCAGTACAAATGCACCACTATTTATTGAGGGTTCCCCACGTCAGGCACCCTGCTAGGGGAGTCTCCAATGTCATGGACTGCCAAACGCCAGTGCTCTCTGCCTCTGAGTCTCCCGGAGTCCCTGTGCCTCCTGCAGTCAATGTGACAGTGTCGGTCCTGGGCAAGTTGCTGTGCTGAAGGGGAGGCCTTGTCCCGGGCCTGGGACCCCCTGCCAGTCACTGTCCGCCTTGCTCTCTCTGTCCCTCACCTCCTCTGGTATCATGCGAGGCATTTACTCATCTGGAAACAGATACTCTGGATGGGGTTGGGCAGCCACACCCGCTCTCCAATCTCTCCCCACTGTTTGGCCCAGTGTTTCTGTGAGAGGATCAGGACAAAGGCAAAAAAGCCCAGGAGGTTCACTGGCTGGCCTGTGATCCACAGCTCCCGTTTCTTCACCCAGATGCAGGATCTAATGTGGTTCCGAAGCTCAAGGCTGAGGCTGGCTGGTGGATTATACTTCAAGTTGGGGAATCTGCAGGCAGGAATTATGGAGGCCAGCGTTTGGGGCAAGGTGAAGGGCCTGCAGACTTCAGGGGCCTCAGGACCCAGCTACTGGCCATCTTCAGTCCCTTGGGCTCCTCTGCCAGGTTGTTGGCTGCTCCATAACATTGCCCCACATCTGCCACGGAACCCTGGCCTCCAAGAGACCCAGAGCTCAGGGCTCTCATCCCCTGGGTGCCAAGCCACACCCAGCACAGTCTCTTCTGGAGCTCAGACTTAGCATCTTTCTTGGAGCAAGTAATAGGAGAAATGAGAGGTAAAGGAAGAAATGGAGCATTTGTGGG